GCATGGTTGACAAGAATAAATTAGGGAGAGTTCTATCAACCGGTGGAAACTAACGATTTAAAATTGGCTCACTACTTAGTCCCAAGCAAATCAATTAACGTACTCCATTCTAGTCCAAATTCTAGAACTACACTATGTTTGTTTTGATTCGCTATGAAAGTTTGACAGATAACATGAGGGGTTCGTGGATTTTCCTATGCTTCGAGTGGTGCATCGATTAGCTTGGGACCGAAGATAGTACCAGAGCTGAGCCAACAAGTTGAGTACGTTTCTTCGGGATCTTCTGGTCTTAGAGTTACCTCTGTTTTCTGAGGTTAAGATTTAGGTAGCATCACTGCTCCTAAAATGGAATTTTTACAGAAATCATAATGCTATTCAAACTGAAGTTAATTTTGCGAACAATATCGCCATGACTTTGAAATGCAGTAACGTATTTTAAATCATTAAATATTTTGAATTAATTATATGATTTGAGTATCTAGTAGCTTTACTGAAGATCCAAGAGATGTCGCCCCTTCAGTGGTAGGAAAATCATTTTTGCAGTATGGAGAATATCAGAAAATCCACGATTTGTGACTAAACATGCTTTCATAGAAGGAAACAAATAAACGAGTGTTTATCTTATCACCATAGTAATGTACTCGTGCAATTTTTGTGCATCGAAAACTGCTCATAAAGACGATAATAAATAAAAACTGAAAATTTTCATGCATTTCAAAATGGTTCCCTACCATTCCCATACATTCAAAAGTGACTGACCCTCTGGATGTGGATGATATCAAAAACAACAAAACATGATTAATTGTAACGCTCGATCTATTAAAGATAATGAAGACGAGTTGTTTAACACAAGCAATGATCCTTTGTTCATGCTTTTTGTAATGTCCTGGTCTAGAAGAAGAAATTTTGAGAAATCATATGAAATAGATATTTAATCGATGGCATAATAAGACGTCTTCAGGTTCTACAAATTGGCCATGAGCCAAGGGAACAGTGGTCAACGTAAATGAGTTTAACAAAAGATAATTAACATCGAACTTGACCAAATACCGGTGAATAAAAACACTAAAATTTCTGGGGGCTAGCTAATTCTAGAGGGGGCCTGGTCCCCTTGGCACCCCCATTACCTACGTCGATGTGGATTACCTAGGTTAAAATTAAATTTTACTCTTTATTCATTGGATTTTAAGGTGACTACTGATTTTCTAAATGTTGCAAGAAGATTAAAACAAAAATCTGAGAAACCTATTGATCAAAACAAAACAAAAAACCCGGCCAGAAAATCAAAGGATATGAAAATGAATGATCCTGCCTGATCCTTCAGAAAACCTCCCCTCACTCGCCTCGACAATTTTATGAGTTTCATACGACTAATGCCGTACACTGATGACCAATAACCGCCCCCTCACCTAACAAATGTGGTGATCATGATCATGATCGCATTAACGTTTTCGTTCGTTGTTGTTGTTATTGTTATATTGCAAGCAAACGAAAAACTTTTTATTGTTCTCCATTCTTTGTCTATGCATATGCTTCAGCTTCACTGTGGAACTATGGCAATGCGACGAACTCACCTCACCTCACACTCGCAGCACGATCATCATTATCATACACAGCCGCCTGCCTGCCTGCCTGCCTGCGGCCACACCATCAGCAACCAAGTCCAGTCAAAGTCAGTCAGTGCGCCAGAGAGCGAAGGAAGAAGTCAATCGAAAGGAAAAGAAGACACGACGAAGCACTTACCTTACATTTTTTTTTCGCTTCCTCTCTGGACTGAAAATTGAAGAGTCGTTCTTTCCAACAAAAGAAGACGATCCGCGAAAGGTTTCAAACGATCAAACGGTGCCCAGCCATGGACGGAGAACGTACCTACCGACATACCTGTGTGCAACCACAGCCTCACACAAGCGCATGATCACCAACCATGGTATCAACACCACTACTAAAATGAGAATGAAACCCTGATGAAGAGAGTGTGCTTTTTTTCCGATTGATCGTCCACCATCAAACCAAGAAAGAGCGAGGTGAGCGAAAAGCCTACTGTTGCTGGCTGTGGTGAGGTGAGCCGTTCAGACAGCACAGAACCAACCATCCATCGATCCATTCTGCTAAATGCTGCTGCTGCTGCTGTTATGAAGGAAGATAGATATTACGTCGATACACACAAAACAGGTTTACATACCTGTAGATACGCGGTGCGGGTTGTGCCCGCTTTGTATTCTCCACCGGTCGCGTTCGTCGATCGTATTCGCACACAATGACAAGGTGACACACCAACGCGCGAAAAGGCTTTCAATGTATTTTGGAGGATGGGATCGTGTTTGTAGACAGTCCCGGTCGAAGTATGCCGTGAGCTTTCTGCTTGCTTTCCGTTCTTGGCTTGCTTTGGCACAGTGGGTAAACAGTTTGGACAGTATGGCAGTCCCATGTAAACGTTTTAAACATCATGAACCGTGACACGTTTTAAATCGTCCCTTCGTCAAAACAATGTCGCAGTATGCCTGTTGTTAAATGACAGTTCTGAAAATTATGTATGTTTTGCTGGAGTGACTACAAGTTTTTTGGGATAGATGTAATGTCTATGCCTGAGTGTGAAAATCGACACACCGGTGTTCAGCAAAATAAAAATGCGTGTGCTTGTTTATACCTGTATTAGACAACCTAGTATGTCATAAAATAACTAAGCTTAAAGATAGTGCAGACATTCAATTGACTACACATAAAATCAATTACTAAGTTCATATTAACTATTATTCAGCTAGATTATAATTGATAAGAATAAAAAAAATAACGTTAATTAAGACCTGGAAATGTTTAAATTTAATAATATCAAACTTTCTGGCAATATTTTTTGCTAATTTTAAATTTAAATTTATAACAACCATAATTTTATTCTTCTTTTGACTATGACATACCAATTGTAGGTTATCGCAAGCTATAAACTGTTTTGAAAGCACTTCCACAATTTTTAATTGTGAATCTTAGGCAAGTACAATTATATTGTATTCCCAAGGGTTTGAAAAAAAAAATTCAGTCGAAAATTCTTGGTCTGGATTGCAAATTGACCCCGCCACCTCTAGATTTATAACTGTTCGTTGACAACTGATCCAAGGGATATATATTTTGATATGAATTTATTATAATTTAGAACGGGATAGTTGCTCACAAATAGATGACACTTTAGTCAATGCTGAGAATGCCAAATGAGCTTTTAGAATAGTTGCAAAGAAAATCTACGGTTAATTCTAAAGGAACTATGGGAAGAATTCAAATGGGCTTTAACTAGATTTCGGACTTAGGCTTCTTTATTATAGAGACATTTCTAAGAATTTTTGAGAAGAATCTCACAAAAATTGAAAGGAGTAGTCCTGTGAGAAGTAGAGGTGAGTTTTAAGGTTGTTGTGATTGAGACTATTATGTGTAGTGATGCACCGAATAGGTATTCGGCATTTACACCAACATTTTATCTGATATTCGGTCATTTCCCACCTAACAAATGGCCGACAAGTCCCGGTTGTTTTCGATTCCTGGATGATTCATGGTTCCCCCAGTTTTCCCGGTTTAGTGGCCCCTCTGGATATAGGAAAGATTAGGACTTTTTACTTGAATATGAAATCAGGATGTCAGTCGATAATAGATTTTCCTATAGTAGGATCACAGTAAATAAGTAGGTAAATAAATAATTTTAAATCCATTGATTGCTACATTTGCTGTTCAGGGCTGGTAGTGCTGATGCAATATAATTGTACTGACTTTAGTGACTAAAGTAACGGAAAAAGTAACCAAATAGTTACTTTTAAATAATAAATAAGTAAGCAAAGCAATAGTCACATTTATGTGGTGAATCAGAAATCCAATTACTGTTTGATATTGTTATAAAGTTTTTATTTCATGGAAGTTAAAATCACATTTCATAAATTCCACTAGTTATTTCGAATCTCACAGCGGAATCTCCTATGAAGAGCATTTGAAGTGATTTGAATAATTTGCCTTTGATGACCGGCAAATAGCAATTTACGGATTTTCCCGGAGTCTTTTTTTAAATTTTACTGGTTTTAAATTAATGTATAAACCAATAAATAGTTAAATAGATCATTTAACATCATTTAAATTCGTGAATTTGATTCTGCGTTAGAAATCTTTAAAATTCTGATATATCTAGGTAGAAACTTTGATAATTCGCTAAGAATTTCTTAAAGAATTTCTTCAGAATGATATCAAGATTTTGTTTAGAATTGTTCCCCTTCTCTTAAACTTGCCCCATAAAATAAGCTTGACAAAAATAATATTGTCTTCTTCAAATTCTTTGCAGACCAACCAACAAAATTCTTGGAAATAGACTATTTTCGTAGTTTGGGATGCTTAACATCAAATATCTGGCTTAAATTGGACATTTTGTACGATAGATGAGAAGATGAAAGTATTGGAAGATTGCCGCAAAAGCTCAACGCATATGTCGCCACTGCATGATGATGATAATGTAGACAGACTGCATATAAAATTCGTGAAAATTAGCATTAAATCATAATTTTCATCAAGCCTGCGTGAAATCTTTCCAATATAACATTCGAATTGAAGAAGAAAACGTTTTTACGATCAGACTGATGTGCAGCATCTTTGACTTTTCCAGGTGAACTTTCATAAGATATATTCATTTCATTTTACGGCTCAATCAATGCTGCATCGTAAATATGATGGTAAACAGAAGTAAATTGCTCAATTACTCAAAATAAAGGTGATTTGTCATCTTGTTATCACTTTGAAGACCATCTAGCACCATTTTATAGTATGGTGCGTGTTGAGTAAATCAAGTTCCGGTGCGTTTTCCGTCGAAAATTGTGAGTATCAATATGTTTGCATAGAAAAGGCCAAAATGAACATTTATTGAATATTGGCGTCCTATACAACCAATTCTCCATTACTACGAGCATGATACAACATTTCCTAAGTAAATTTACTTAATTTCCACTTTCATCTTAGTGGAAATCGCACTGTTCCCGTAGGGAAACCAAATTTTCAACAGCAGCTGACTAGTTTTCAGCAACGCTCAAACTGTAAACATTTATTATCATTAGCTTACAATTTTTATTAATATTAGATGTTACTTACAATAAAGTGGTTTCCTTTCCCACTGTATAAAGCTTCCTTTTCTTCCTCCTACACTCTCTCTGTTGATCCTATTAAATGAATTAATTTTAATTAACGATCACTCATCACTAACGCTACGAAACTTACGATTTGCTGTATGATTTGCGCTTGATCCGAACTTCGGTCCAACTACCCTAACGTTGTTGTGCTATATGCTCGACCTATTTGCAGGTGCTATCAAAAACATTCTAGTTACTAAGAATATGTGTATCATACTTTATTTTACTTACAATCTAAATCCAACGAGGAATGGTAGATACTTTTTGGGTGAATGTATCCTTTACAGGTATCCACCACGATCGACCGTCGCTGCAGGTAAGTAAACGAGGGTAAATATTTACATTCATACACTAACTTAACTAAATTTTATTCCTTTTCGTTTACTTACAGGATTTAGCGGTAAATAAGGAACGTTTTTTGTACCTCCTGCGACCAATCTAGCACTATTTATATACGATTTTCGAATAATAAACTTTAACCGCGGAACTGAATTGTTTATATTCTAATAATACATCGAGATTATATTTGCGATGGCGAATTATGTTTACCACTCACTATTATCTATATTACTACTACTACCACTACTACTACATACTATCATCTTGTTTACTTATCTCCATTCCTATTTGTCAACATTTAACGGCAGCACTCAATCTGCAGTACCGTTATGCAGTGTTGCCAGATTCACCTCTGCGGTGTTGCAACACCCCAGCCCGTAACATCCGGTAATGCTTGAAATCTGGATTTACTGAATCTCCAACACCGCTAGATTCACTACCCCACGTCTTTGAACTTTTCCATCAGCGGTCCTCACGTTCACCTGTCGGATTCGTCCATCCGAACCCTTGGTTACCGCTTCCACGATACCTCGTCTCCACCACTTCCGGTTCTTTCCATCGACCACGAACACTAAGTCGCCCTCGTTTAGCGGCTTCTGCTCGTCGAACCATTTCGACCGTTGGTTGATCGTCGGCAGATACTCTTTAATCCATCTTTCCCACATCTTGTCGGCAAGATATTGCGAGCGCTTGTATATATTTCGGAGTGCTTCGGCGAAATCCGTAGGTCCACCATCCACCTGCTTGTCGGCACTGGCCACCGTTCCCCGTAGGAAATGATTCGGGGTCAGTGCTTCAGTTTCGACCGAATCCTGCGGCAAGTAGGTCAACGGCCGCATGTTGATCATATCGGCCGCTTCCGCCAGCGTCGTCACTAGGATCTCGTCCGTCAGCTTCCTTCCGTCGTCCAGTGCACGCATCGCCTCCTTAACCGATCGTACCATTCGCTCCCAGATGCCGCCCATGTGTGGCGTTCCGGGTGGGTTAAAGTGCCAAGCGGTAGCGGGACTGGCCATACTTTCAGCACATTTCTGGTTGATGCTCTCCATCCTTACCATCTCGTTGTTAGCTCCCTGGAAGCATGTAGCGTTGTCGGAGAATATGTTATTTGACTTCCCAAACTTACTATGGAAACGAGTGATTGCCATTTGGCAGGATTCAGTTGTCAAACTGTGCACGACTTCGAGGTGCACCGCCCTCACAGCCAAACAGGTGAATACTGCCACCCAACGCTTCTCTTTTCGTCTACCGATCGTTACTTCCACCGGACCCAGGTAATCTATGCCCACGGAGCTGAAGGGCCGTAGATGAGAAGTGACTCTTTCAACTGGTAGGGGAGCCATCCTTGGAGATCTTGGACGGCATTTGTTCACCTTACACCATACGCACCTGTTCATCACATTTTGGATCGCTGGGCGCATCTTGGGAATATGGAACCTCTGTCTCATTTCGTTGAACACCGTCTCCGAATTCGCGTGCCCGAACGCTTCGTGGTAGTGCTGGATCAGTTTCTGCGTAATTTCGTGGGACCGGGACAAGATGATCGGATGCTTCTTGTCGAATGAACTTTCCCCAGAATTCGCCAGTCTACCCTCCATACGCAGCACGCCTTCGTCGTCCAGTACCGGTGAACTCTTATAGATGCAACTGCTCTTCCTAATCTTCTCAAGCGGCTGACCCGGCTGGCGCTGCAGATTGTTCGTGAGCATGCTCATTTCATCAGGGAAACTGTCCCACTGTACCTGCCGCCACAGGATGGTTTCGGCCTGCTGAAGTTCTTCCTGCCCAAGTGGTACCTGCACTGCCACATAATTCACCGCTGTCGCTTCGATCAGCCGACGTTGCTTCGTCGTTGCCCATGTTGTCACTATCGGCTCACCTCGTTTTTTACGCCGGCAGTTGACGATGAAGCGTACCATGGTAGCCGTCACTCGCAAGAGTCTTGTCCAACGAGAAATCGCTTCAACGTTGATCACCTCTTGGAACAACACAGAACCTCGTGCCTCCTCCTCGGTTTCTTCAAACGTTGATTTTTTCGATGGCCACTGATCCTCCGGCTGGTACAGGAGATCTGGTCCTTGAAACCATATTCCATCGCTTTGAAGAGGTGGACCTTGTCCCCACTTCGTCAATACGTCTGCTATGTTCAGTTTGGTTGGCACCCATCGCCAGTCAGTAACCTTTGTGAGCTCCTGGATTTCGCCGACCCGAAATGCAACGAATTGCTTGTAGCGATGTTGGTCGGAATTCAGCCAGCTACACACTGTGCGAGAATCTGTCCAGAAAACAGTACGGAGGAATTTGTACGAATGTGTGTCCAGAACGGTTTGACTCATACGGGCTCCCAGAACCGCACCCATTAATTCCAGACGAGGAATTGACTGACGTTTAATCGGTGCCACCTTTGCTCGAGACATCATCAGGCTGCAATGAACATTGCCGTTGACAACCGCTCGCAAATACGCCACGCATCCGTACGCGTGTTCGCTGGCATCGGTAAAGATGTGAACTTCCAGCGAATCGATTTCGGAGCACTTAGCACCTCCGAGGTAGCAACGTGGAATTCGGATGGCTTCCACCTCCGGTAACAGACTGGTCCACCGCTTCCACAGCTCCCAGCACTTGATATCGATTTCCTGATCCCAGTCGCAGTTGGAACGCCACAGATGCTGGATGATAATTTTGCCGTGAATGGTGAATGGCGACAATAATCCGAGCGGGTCGAAGAAACCCATTACGCAGCTTGCGACAAGTCTTTTCGTCGGCCGTTTTCCCTCGTACAAGTACGCCAATAACTCCTCGCGATGCGTTGTCGAAAAGACAAATTCGTCGGAGTCCGGATCCCAGATTATCTCTAAAACTCGCTCCTTGGAAGTCTGCTTGTCCCGGTTGAAGTGCACCGGTGCGGCTGGTTTCGTCTCTCCCAGACTCCGAATAACTTCTGGCGAGTTGGACACCCAGTTCCGGATCTCGAAACCGGCTTTCCGATGTACCAAGCGCACCTCTTGCGCCAGCTTGACTGCTTCTTCCACCGTATCGACGCTGTCGAAATAATCGTCGACATAGTGCCGGTTTATGATGGCTGCGGCTGCTGCAGGATATTGAGCGGCGAGTTCCTCAGCGTTTCGGTTTTTGACGAATTGGGCCGAACAAGGGGAGCTTGTAGACCCAAACGTTGCCACGTCCATGACATAAATGCTCGGTGAAACGTCCGGAGTCTTCCTGAAGACGAACCTCTGCTTCTGTTTATCCTCGGTGCGAATCTTCATCTGGTGAAACATTTCCTTTACGTCTCCACCGAAAGCGATTCGCCATTCGCGGAAACCGAAAAGAACTTTTACCAGGGGTACTAGCATATCGGGCCCTTTCAACAGCAGCGAATTCAGAGAAACTCCTTGTACTGTCGCTGCAGCATCCCATACTAGACGTATCTTACCTGGCTTTTTCGGGTTTTGTACGACACTTAGTGGGAGATACCAGACCTCGTCGGGGGGAGTTCCAGCCAGCTCGTCCTCGGTAGCCAGATGCGCGTACCCTTTTTCCTGGTACTCGTCAATCTGCTTGCAGACGTTCTCGTGCAGCTCCGGATTCTTTTGTAGTCGTTTCTCCAGTTGCTTCATTCTTCTCACGGCCATGGGAAAACTGACCGGGAACTTTGGATCATCTGTCTTCCACAGTAGCCCAGTTTCGAAGCGGTCGCCGACACGTTTGGTAGTCCGCTCAAGTATTTCCCGTGCTCGTTTCTCTTCTGTTGACTCTTGTGGTACCATAACCACCGATTCCTCCAAAGCGTAGTGGCTTTTGAGCAGTTCGTGCAGGTCCTCGTTGGTGATCGCTTGGTGGTAACCGAAATAATTACCTGCTGCAACCGTGGCGGAGTGCCTTGGACCGTATACCGTCCACCCAAACTTGCATCGAACCGCAATTGGTTCCACTGGTGCACCAACCTTCGCCTCCATCGGTGCAAACGAATGGATGTTATTTAGTCCGATGAGCAGTTCCGGCTGTCCGTCGTATGACTCGATTGACAATCCTCGCATGTGTTGGTATTGTGTGGCAAGCTCCTGGTAATCCAACCTCTGACGTGGCAGCATCAGTTTTCCAACCGTACGAACACTATGCAGCAGCAACTTTTCACCCGCATCGGGACTAACACCAGACGCCCACAGATTCATTCGCCGGGAGTCCTTCTCTTCGCGCGTGATATCAGCCGTCCACTTGATCGTCAGCCGCTCTTGTACGCCAACGACGCCCAGCCGGTCAGCGAGTTTCTTCTCCAACAACGTGACGGAGGCACCTTCATCCAGGAACGCCAGGACCGTGATCGATTTTCCACCACAGTGAAGCTGTACCGGTACCATACGGAACATGGCAGTACAGTTCGAACGAATATGTGCACTCATTCCGAAAGTGTGCCGCACAGGATGCATCAGCGGATTGTGGTGCTCCTTACAATCGCCGATGTTGCAGAAAATCCTGAACCTACATAAACCACCATGCTCGTTGAGGCACACGTGACATAGTTTATCGCGGGTCGCTAGCTTCAGTCGGTTCGTGTACGACAGCTTCTTAAAGTCCGCACAGTGCCGAAGACGATGTTCCATGCTTTGACATAGATTACACGGCTTTAATCTCTTCCGGTCGCTCGAACTTGCACCTGGACTATTTTCTCCACTATGGCAGTACAACACACCCTTTTCCTTCGGTTTCTTCTTTCCGGACGATGGTCCACCTTTGGGCTGATACGCCGGCTTGAAATCCACGTCGACGTTTGCCTCACAGGCGTCCTCGACTATCTCCATGAGAAAATCCGTCAGCGTTCGCAGCGTTTGTTCTCCTTTGTTTCTCCGGTAATGAACCCATTCACGCTTTTCACGGTCCGGAAGCTTGGCAACCAGAGATTTAATCAACAGTGGATTGACGAGGTGTTGCCGTAGTTCTGCGGCCTCCAAATGTCCGCAGAGTTGTTCTACGGTATTTCCGAAAGGAACGAAACTCCTCAGGTTGTCTGGCTTTGGAGGCTCCAAATGATTAACTTTGTCCAGTAGATTCTGTAGCAGTTGTTCCGGACGACCATAGTGCCGACGCAGCTTCTCGATGACCCTCGGAATTGACTCGGGAAGAAGCAGTTGACCGGACACCAGCTCAAGAGCATCGCCTTCGAGGGATTCCTGCAGTCGCATTAAGTTCTCGTGGTCCATGTAGCCACAGGCTTCGTTCGAAGTTTTGTAGGCCGCGTAGAACAATGGCCATTGTGCTGGTTTTCCAGAGAACTTGGGAAGTTTGAATGTCAACCCCTTTCTCGCGGCCAGCTGTGCCTTTGTCGGTCCGACCTGCTTATGCCCCAGCCCGTTTTGGCTTCTTTCCTCCAGCTTCTTAACTTTCTGCGAAATACTTTTCACGGATGGTTCGGTATGTTTGGAAGCTACCTTCGAATCTTCCGACCGTGTATCATCCTCTTTGCTATCGTCTTCATCATCGTCCTCTTCGTCGTCGTCTTCGGTATCATCGTTGTCTCCGGCGAGCAGCTTCAAATTTTCTTTAGTTAGCTTCAGCGGTTTCTTGCTCTCTTTGCCAGAGGGTCCTGCTTTGATCCCGTCTTCATCTTTTTTATGCACCGTCTTGGGAACCTTGACGACTGATAGCTCTGCCAACTCCTGATCCAGGTCCGCCATCTCTTGTTCGAATGACTTCTGATTCGCTTTCATCCGCGCAATCTGTGCCTTCTTCTTCTGCAGAATCTCTTCCTGCAAAGCTCTTTGTTCTTCTTCTTCTTCAGCGCGCATCTCTCTCTCCATTTCCAACCTTTTTCTTTCAAATGCGCGCTGCATATACTTTTCCTTCTTCCGCAGCTGCATCTCCGCCTCTAGCTCTTCATACTGCCGCTTTTGCCTTTCCTCTAACGCCTTCACTTTTTGCTCCACGATGGAAAAGCCTTTGCGAGAGTTGACGCTAGACTTGTCAGACTCGTCGGTAGGCTTCCGAAGACGAGCCTGCTTCTTGGCTTCTTTGAGCTGCCTTTGGTACTCCTGAGCCTGGAGCTGACAGGCTTCGTTTTGGCAGTACCATTTCTTCGGCTTCAGTCCCTCCGTTAGACCTACACAGCGAGAATGAAACCAGCTTGCGCAACCGTCGCAACCTACCATTTCTTCGTCGCATGTTGATGGCCCGCAGATTCCACACGGAGTCGCTGTCAGGTCCATGACTGTTTTGTCCGCCGTTTCGGAATCGGAAGCCATTTCTTTGGGAAGGTCCGAACTTCTCTCTTGGACACCGCTTGTGTCACTTTATTTTTGAGAAATTGTTCCCGTAGGGAAACCAAATTTTCAACAGCAGCTGACTAGTTTTCAGCAACGCTCAAACTGTAAACATTTATTATCATTAGCTTACAATTTTTATTAATATTAGATGTTACTTACAATAAAGTGGTTTCCTTTCCCACTGTATAAAGCTTCCTTTTCTTCCTCCTACACTCTCTCTGTTGATCCTATTAAATGAATTAATTTTAATTAACGATCACTCATCACTAACGCTACGAAACTTACGATTTGCTGTATGATTTGCGCTTGATCCGAACTTCGGTCCAACTACCCTAACGTTGTTGTGCTATATGCTCGACCTATTTGCAGGTGCTATCAAAAACATTCTAGTTACTAAGAATATGTGTATCATACTTTATTTTACTTACAATCTAAATCCAACGAGGAATGGTAGATACTTTTTGGGTGAATGTATCCTTTACAGGTATCCACCACGATCGACCGTCGCTGCAGGTAAGTAAACGAGGGTAAATATTTACATTCATACACTAACTTAACTAAATTTTATTCCTTTTCGTTTACTTACAGGATTTAGCGGTAAATAAGGAACGTTTTTTGTACCTCCTGCGACCAATCTAGCACTATTTATATACGATTTTAGAATAATAAACTTTAACCGCGGAACTGAATTGTTTATATTCTAATAATACATCGAGATTATATTTGCGATGGCGAATTATGTTTACCACTCACTATTATCTATATTACTACTACTACCACTACTACTACATACTATCATCTTGTTTACTTATCTCCATTCCTATTTGTCAACATTTAACGGCAGCACTCAATCTGCAGTATCGTTATGCAGTGTTGCCAGATTCACCTCTGCGGTGTTGCAACACGCACATATTCACCATTTTCCGCAAAATGCAGCTGCGCAGGAGGTAAGCTCTCGTGGGTGCAAACTTGTTCAAACTTGATCCATACCGAAATAATAACAAATATTTTTCAAACACGTTTTCTTACACGATTCAAGCAAAAGTTTCCACGGGAAATGATTAGTTTTTCCGATTTGACCGATTTGCCCCAAAAAGCGTCTGTTTTACTTGGAAAATTTGGAAACTATCCTCCTTCTAGTAGTTCTCACTTCGAAATGTAGGTGGCGAAAGCTTGGAAAAGTTTCACTGCAAGACGCCAATAGAGTTGATAATTCCGTTGTAGTACGGCAGTGTGAAAATTGTATATAGAAAGTAGAAAACGAGCAAAGGACAATTTTGAGGAAGGTACGAATCGGGTAGAGCATCCCCTTTACCGAACTCATCCGTTGATGATGGATGGTGAGGGGAGTTCTATCGATTGTTTCACACTCGACATCTACCCGATTCGTACCGTCCTCAAAATTAACCTATTCTCGCTTTCTACTCTCTATGTACAATTTTCACACTGCTGTACTACAACAGAATCATCAACTCTATACTTTCATCTCCTCACCTATCGTATAAAATGACCACTTTAAGTCTGTTTTTTGACGATTATCTACAAATAACTTAACCTAATGTGCTAGATCCATTCCCTAATGTTCTGTTGATCTGACCTCAGACAGGTGTCTCTGAACCTGTCTAGGATGATCATTCTCTGGTATTCTAGTGTTTGAATTCCACGAAAAGACGGTGGACCTCAGAATTTAGAGCCCGCGGTGGACTGTTTAGGATCATCCTTGATCTTGAATCTTTTGAAGTTTAAGGTAATGGCATTTAGAACAACTCTCCCGGATTCGATTGCAGGTAGAATTGTTTTAGTTTACTTTCCGAAATAATAATTTTAAGTGGTTAGGTTAAAGGGTGTCCACGATGAAATTGCCACACACAAAATTGATTTGCAAAATTCGAGTTTTCATCCGATTGCCATCAAATTTTCAGGGATTGAGAAATAACTATTAAACTTCATTTTACCATTTTACTCGTATTTTATTTACAGTCCATACGCAAATGCCCGCACCTTGGCCTTAACCCCGGCCATAAGATTCTGCACAACCTGTGAATCAACCGTTTTTTGCATGTAAACCCATACTTTCTTCAGTTCCTCGACTGTGTTCACTACCTTAGGTCGTTTAAGAAGGTGCTGCTTCATAATCGCCCAGTACTTCTCGATGGGGCGGAGCTCCGGAGTGTTGGGAGGGTTGAATATTTTCGGCACGAAATTGACCTTATTGTCCGCATACCACTTCAGCACGTCCTTGGAGTAGTGGCATGAGGCCAAATCCGGCCAGAAGATTGTTGGGACGTTGTGGGCCTTCAGGAGAGGAAGCAGGCGCTTCTGGAGGCACTCTTTTATGTACACCTGTCCGTTTATCGTGTCCTGGGTCACGAAAGGTGCACTCCGCTTCCCGCACGTGCAAATGGCTTGCCAAACCAGGAATTTCTTCGCAAATTTGGACATCTTCTGAGTGCGGACATGCTCCGGAACGCTGAACTTATCCTTGGCCGTGAAAAACAGGTTGCCGGGGATCTGTTTGAAGTCGGCCTTCACATATGTTTCGTCGTCCATGATGCAGCATTCAACTTTCGTCAGCATGTTGAGGTACAACTTCCTGGCACGGGTTTTGGCGGACTTGTTCTGCTTCTCGTCGCGATTAGGGGCCTTTTGTACCTTGAACGTTCGAAGCCCAGCCTTAGTTTTGGCCTTCTGGACAAAACTTCGGCTTAGGTGCAGCTTCTTAGCCACATCCCTAACGGAGGCGTTCGGATTTCGGTTGAAGGCCCCAACTACGCGGTTGTGATTTTGGTGTTGAACGGAATACTTTTTCCTTCACTTCTGGGCTTCCGATCGGTGGTCAACCGTTCCTCGAACCGCTTAATCACTCGCGACACCGTGGAATTCGCGATTCCCAACGTTTTAGCGATGGAACGATGCGAGAGATCCTTGTTCTCGTGATGAATGCGCAAGATTTGTTCTTTCTTCTGTTCTTTCGACTCCATTTCCGCGAGTTTTGATCACAGGACTTTAAAACTTGCAGGATGTAAATAATGCACTATGAACTAAATCCACCCAAATTTTCATTAAATTCTACCCAACGGTTAAAAAGTTAGAGCAATTTCATAGTGTGGCAATTTCATCGTGGACACCTTTTAGTTTAGTTTTATTAATGAGACTTTCAGCGTTTTTAAGCGAAAATACACGAAATGGCTGTGTTCCATTTTTTAAAAAGAAACTTATCCCACTATCAGATAGCGGGTACCAACAATCTGGAAATCCGACATGCGGCTCGCTACCTGTGTTCGATTTGTCTAGTTTCTTCATAGTGCTTTCGGTGATCAAATGAGTAAGTGCGGTTTTTATCAAAGTTAGTTAAGTTCTTACGGCAGAAGAAAGGGTCAATGTTATAAACCGGTGACTGTATATCAAGCTATCGTGTATCTATCAAGATACACATCTAATTGAGAGCCACCTTTTAAAAGAATCACAAACTAATGTTGTTCTGCTAAGTCTGATTGTGTCATGCTTCTGTTTAATGATGAATGTAAGAACTAATAATGGTTTCAAATAAGTAGTAATAATAATGAAAATTTGTGCAATTTCAAAGTCCCATAACAATTCTGATATGGATTTTTAAGCTAATCTGGACCAAAAAAGCCACTTGGCGGTATCTCCTATCTTGTCGGAGACTGCTTTCGGATATTGTGGTTTTTCGAAGAAACTTAATCGAGCCCACTGTTAAGTCCGGCCACATTCATAGACAGTTTCTGCTGCTTATCAGGCATCACTTATTGTAGATTTCCAACCGGTATCTAGCAGCTAAGCTCCTGAACCCTCACTTATTCAAGCGGTACATCGGAGTTCAATCTTATCCCCTTCTTTTTCATCTCTAGATCTAAACAAGGTGAACACATTTTGATAGACTCTCTTCTCTAGTTTGAGTCAAGCCATTAAAATTTATTTCAAATATGGCCCAAGGGCCAAAAACTGGACCACTAGTGCCACTACTGGTGCACTTATCTTATGTAAAATAGATACAAACTATTACTTTCGTTTGTAAATAGTGCTTATTGTTGCTAGAAAATATAGCCGTTCTTTTTTTTAATCTTTATTTGAGAGATTTTTAGCTGAAGGCTAGTTCATCTCTAATAGCCGTTCCTGTTAACTTTGAGATAGCTAGCTGGGAGCCCCAGGTTGGGACCTTAGCCATAGTGATCGAATAAAGTTGGCTAGGAACGCCCTTATTTGCCTTTTCGATCAATCTTTCCACGTTAGCCATAGCCTCGGCCGCAGCTGAGAAGCATATGGAGGATCGAATCCTTGGGTATTACAGGTATCGATAAGCACTCGATTTGATTTATCGTTCTGCTTGCGAAGTTTATGTGAATGGAACGATGGTGAGCTCAAAACACTGCATAATTTCCGCATAAACCGGGACACTTGTCGCAAAATGATGCTGCTTCTCTTTTGACTTCAAAATGTATGCACTTAACTCCTAATTTGCGGGGTCGTATTTTTCCTCCTACGAATCCAAAATGAAATCAAAAATTGATGCAATTGGCTCCAAACATTTAAAAAAAGTTTAACGTATGGTTTACAATGACATTTCAGGATTAATCGTTGGGTGGCAGGTCATTGCAAACAAAATCGGTGAAAAATTTATACTTTTTTGATTGCGAACGTTAATATATTTGTTTGCTGTGTGACGCGAGGTGAGGAGCTAGCTATATAGTTATAAATAAAGGACGTAAATAGTTAAGGAAAACCCAAGACATAAGTTCAAAAGTTCTAAGAAGACAGAGAATTATAAACCACGCTATAATTATTTTAATAGGATTGACCACCCCCTTGATCCGCTTTCTCATTTTACAGCTGGTATAATTAATTTGACAGATCGATGTCTTTTTATACCACTTGAAATCACTGAAATGGGGTCGATTTTTGATTATCGAGTTTCACATATGTTATGTGCTTAGGGGCTATTTACAAATCATGCAGCTATTTTATCTACGCATACCTAGAATATTATATAGCTCAATCGATTTCAAATCAGGTCGAGATCATTCTCCCCAAGTTTGAGCTCCTTTGGATGAGAATTACTATGAGAAAAGTGACATTTTTGTTCTCATCTTTACTTATGTTAAATTTTCCCAGCTTCAGTTAAACGTCAGGATAATAAGTTATGAAAAAAAGCATCTCACAAGACAGGCTGAATGGAGGAGACATTTTTACAAGTTTTAACAAACACTAAATATGTAGAGGGGTAGATTTGCATCCGGTTTATATGTGAACTTGTGGCAATTGTATTGTATTGTAAGTAAGCGGATAAACATGTTGTTGGATTCTAGGACGAAATGGTAAAGAGATAGATACGATTGCTGCTAAAGGGTGAAGCGCTCAATATGATTGGAATAAAGTGGTTTGTAGGTTTATCAATTTAGTTAGTTAAATTAGATTTTCATATGAATTAGAATTGGGTTGGATTGAGATAGGAAATGGTGTAATGGTTTGGAGTTGAACCATCAAATCAATACGAAGGTAATGATTTCAAATTGACTCAATACTTGACTAGCCCATCGGTTGCAAGTACATTTATAAGCGTATCCCAGTCTCAAACTATAATCTGTCAAAGTTTGTGTTCGTTTTTCTTCACCTTAAAAATTAGACAGATTTTCCGTGGATTTTCCTACGTTTCGATGGCTACGTCAATTAGCTTAGGACTGAAAGTCTGGTACTTAAAAATTACACCTTAAAAATTAAACAGATTTTCCGTAGATTTTCCTACGTTTCGATGGGTACTGAGCCAAACTATTGGACATGTTTCTTCGGGACCCCCTGGTTTTAGTACTAGCACAGACAAACAGACGTAACTCACTCAGCGCTACAGTGAGGGATTCGCGCAAATAATAATATTTAAATTGATATTTAAAATGCGTGTACGACGTGGTGTTAGTTTATTATAATACCGGTTAGAGCTTCAACATAAAATAATGTTTTATTTTATTGTTCTGAAAAAGTGTTCATCAGGATAACGTTTGCCTTAATTAATAACATTTACAATTACAAGTATAGCTAACGTTAACCACAATACCCCAAACGATGATGTTAGATGATTGTTATATTTAGAAGATATCAGTGCTAACATTTGAAAACGGCACAAAAGCCATTTGTAAACAAATGGTTTGTGGGCCCTTTACTCACTACTTGAAGTACACCCACGCGACACAACAGCAACATCGGGTAGGGGAAATTTTCCCCTTCCTGACGATGCTGTTGGTTTGCGTGGGCGTTCTTCGGGTAGCGAGTAAAGGGCCCACAAACCATTTGTTTACAAATGGCTTTTGCGCCGTTTTCAAATGTTGTTCTAGTCCCAAATGGCACATTAGAACAGTCAGAACAAGTAATTGCATCTAAGTTTAATGATTATTTCGTAGACAGTGTTTCATTGATTAATCAATCTATTGAATTGGTCGATGAACCTGACGAAATAAAACAGCCAGTTAATAGTAGTTGCAGATTTGAAGTTTTTCACCCAATTACATTAGATGAATTTAGAGTTATTTGTTTTTCATTAGGAAAATCGGCTGGAGTAGATAATGTTAATGCTAGAGTTATTCAAGATTGCTTTCATGTCATTGGCCACATCTTTCTGGACCTTATTAATGAATCATTGCAGAATGGACATGTGCCACAAATTTGGAAGGAATCCTTAGTGATTCCTATTCAAAAAGTTGCTGGAACGATTAAAGCCGAAGAGTTTCGTCCCATCAACATGTTGCACACATTAGAGAAAATCTTAGAACTTGTTGTTAAAGGCCAGCTGTTGGAGTATTTGAATAGCAACTCTTTGTTGATACCAGAACAATCGGGATATCGGGAAGGTCATTCTTGTGAAACTGCATTGAATTTGGTGTTAGCAAAGTGGAAAGACAACTTGGAGCGTAAAGATACGATTGTTGCTGTTTTTTTGGATCTGAAACGCGCTTTTGAAACAATTTCTAGGCCCTTACTGTTAAGTACAATCAAGCGCTTTGGAATTACGAGTACTGCATATAAATGGTTTGAAAGCTATTTGTCTGACAGAACTCAACGGACTGTTTTTAATGATTCTGTTTCCAGTCCCGCGGGGAACAACCTTGGAGTGCCCCAGGGAAGTGTATTAGGGCCCCTTTTATTTATTATGTATATTAATGACTTGCGACGTGTTTTACGGTTTTGCGACATTAACCTTTTTGCAGATGATACTGTGTTATTCATTGCAGCTAAGGATTTAGAAGTTGCCGTCTCACACTTGAATGAAGATTTGCAGTATCTAAGTAGATGGTTGAAGTGTAAGCAGTTAAAATTGAATACAAGTAAAACTAAATTTATGGTAATTTCGCGGAATCGATTAAATGAGCACGTCTCTGTTGTAATTGATGATGAGACTATTGATCGCGTTCAGGAGATTAAATATCTTGGCGTGATTATTGATGACAAACTTAAGTTCAACTCTCACATTGACAATGTCATCAAGAAAATTGCCAAGAAGTATGGAATTCTATGTCGATTGAAAAACGATTTAACTATTGCCAGTAAAATACAGCTATACAAATCAATCATCTCTCCTCATCTAGACTTTTGCCCATCCATTTTATTTCTGTCGAATGCAACACAAATATCGAGATTACAGCGCTTGCAGAATAAAATAATGCGTTTGATTTTGAGATGTAATAGATTCACTTCCTCAACTTTGATGTTAGACGCCTTACAATGGTTGTCGGTGAAGCAAAGAATTGTATATTTGACTATGGTGTTCATTTTTAAAGTAGTTAACGGTTTGCTGCCTCGATATTTGTGTGATCGAATTGAAAGAGGAAGTGACTATCATAGATATAATACTAGAAACGCGGATGAAATAAGAACACCACATTTCTTGACTTGTGCTTCACAGAATTCATTATTTTTTAAAGGAATAAATGTTTTCAATTCGATGCCTAGACACATTAAACGTTCAACAACATTAGCAGAATTTAAGAGACATTGCATTTCACACGTTAAAACTGTCTTTTGAACGGTTATCCAGTGATTTTTTTTTATGAATTGACAAATTATGTATCTTGACGAAGTTATTTTTAACGGATTACTTTGTATGGATAGCTGTTATAACGACTTTTTAATAATTATTGTAGCACTGCAAAAACTATTTTGTTCGCCACGATGGTGATGATGGATTTTTGATATATGATTTAATAGTAGTAGTAAAAAAAATAGTAGTCTACAAAGGTTTGAGCCTCGCGCGCGTATTACGGATATAGAGGACTGAATTTAACATTTGATAAAAAAAAAAAATGCAATTTTGAAGCTTATTTGGAAGATACCTTGAGTTAGTAGTAAGTTTTCTGGCAAATGTTGGGGGTTTGTGAGCATTCCTGACATTGCTGAAAATTATGATAGCATCAGATTGCGGGGTTACTAGTGTAATAGGATGCTTTGTTGATTGTTCATTAACTCTTGATTGCTTGTAATACTTATGAATATTTTAGGTGGACAAAAAGGCGAACTAAGAGGTGGACGCCTGAGCTTTTCAACATTTATATCGCTGTGAAGCAACTGTAAACTCTAGAGGGAATTTATATCTGTAACTGAAACCAGTTCGATTTTGTTTGCCAACCTGGTTAAAATGTCATATTTAATTATCTTAAAGATAAATCGTCCAGCTCAAACCTTTGTAGGGGTAAGAGGTGGGACCATCATCATCATCATCATCACCAAATAGAACTTTATTATAGAGATAATCCTAATAAAAATAACCATAAAAGAGAGCTGAACGACGTGTTCGGGGTATCATCCAAACCATTTGTGGGATAGTTTACCCATCGTTGATAAAGTTCGTTCATGGTATTTGTTTATTAGGGAAATCCATCAACTATTGAAAATTATTTAAAACTCTTTCCAAATTTATTCGCCTTTTCCCACTATCCAGGTGAACTGCACAACGTTTGACACATGACGCCGGAAAACTGGTTTAAAAGCTCTCAACACCGGCCGAGTTTAACCGAAGATCGTAAGCGACGAACCCGATCGTTCATCCGTTCTATGTGTGCACCGCACTGCAGCGCACACATAAGCATAATCTCACCTGACAGCAGAGCGGCAACAAACCGTAACAACCGATTCGCATACCACCGCACCGCAAATGCCGCTACACACAAGAAAAGAACAATAATAACAGAACCTGCACCAACACAGGCGCGTACAGCTAAAAGCGCAGCAGCCCGTTCGTTTGCCGTAAAAAAAAGATACTTGTTTCCGTTCGTCTCGCTCCCACCTGGGAAAGTTCTATCGTCCGTCGCGCTTGCGCCGTCGGCTTTCGTGTGCGAGAGCTTTCGGAATCTAGCTGTAATTCTGTTTTTTTTTCTTCTTTTCGGCTTAGCTACTTGCTGCTTGTTGCCGCTGCCGCTGCGGAGGAACTGTGGAACGGAACACGACGGTAGTACGACGGACGGACGACGACGACGGTGGACGGTAGCCTCGCAAGCAGTCAGCATTGCAGTGTACAGTAAGTGAAAGAACGCCGCCAAGAACGAACGTATCTCTCCTGTCTGAGCCGGTTGAGTTGTCCGCGTGTTGAAAACCGAGTGTACAGCGCAGAGCAAGGCTTAAGCCAGCTTACCTTCCCATACCTCCCTGGTACAGGTTCTGTGTACCGTGACAGGGGGAACCGCGAGAGAGAGAGTTCGGAAGTTCCGGTCGTAGGAGGAACAGTTACTTCCGGAAGCTTCAAGTGCAAACAACTCGGTAGCTCCTAGTGCTGGAGTTGCCTACTCTTCTGAACCGCGTGTGTGTGTGTGGATTGATCGTGATCTACTCAAGGAAAAATCATGTGAATAAGATTATGGCTTTCGAGCCCCGATTCCCAAGAAATACTACTCAAAGTGCAATATTTTCTAAGATAGTAGGATTAAGAAGCATCGTTACAAGTTAAGTGAAACAGCGGCTGACTACTAGATCTCTCGAGTTAAGTGAAGTGAATGAGCTGGATGAGAAAATTGGCTCGAAAAGAAAAGCATCAAAGAAGGCCTGTAAACAAATCGAAGTGTTATGGATGAATTTGTGGATTACTGCGATTGTGAGATAACAAAATAATAATAAAAAATTGAGGAGCGAAAGGGCTCAACAGTGTGTGATTATGACAAGTGACAGCTGACAGCATTGAAACGAGCAAGAAATATAACATATTGTGCTGGCAAAACAAAAAACAACAGTGACAACTTTGGATTTGGATTACAAGCAGTTGCAGTTGGATTGATTTCCGGTGGTTGTTTTTGAGAAGAGCAGCGTAGAAAAGTTGAAGCCGCCGCCACCATGCCGAAGATTAGCTTGATCAAGCATCGGATCCATCAGGAGCAGTTGCGGCTGCTCGAGTCGCAGAAGAATTCCAACTTTGCGGAGAGTGGCTTCGGGAACGAACCGCTGTCGCTGGTTTCGCGCAAGAAGGATAGCAAAGAAGGAGCAGGTCAGTGCGCAGAGGAATTGGGCTTGGGATTCGGGGGGTTGTTGGGGGTTTTTCCTTAGTTCAATCAGAATCATTGAACATTGTTGTTTTGCTTGAAATTCATCGAATAGCTTGGCCAATGTTGATTTATTCTGTTCGAGCAGTTAAGGTTTATGAAGCTTCTTGTTGTTGTTGAACCAATTGAATTTTTAATATGGTTATAATTTTCAACTTTGGAGGATTGCTTGTGTTGTTATTGACTTTCGTTTCCACTTGCATTTGAAATTGAGCTAAACTGCTCGAAAAATGGCCCCCGTGATTATTTGTCGTTTTTTTCGAGTAGTTTATTTTTAAATATAATTTTATGAGCTATTTTCTTCAACATCTTAATTATTTTGTTTTCGATTTCAACTGCTCGAACAAATAGTTCTAACCTTTTACTTCATAATTTGCCACATTTTCGAGTATATATAACTTACCACTTGATAATATTTTAACCAAGTGAGCTACTCCATCCGAATTCTATCTAATAGATAATGTTGAACCGTAATCCAATATATGGAGTACCAATGTAAAACAGACAATTAGTGACAACTTAAGTTCACCACTCCTACTGTTCAACTTTTCAGAATATTGCATCATTCGAGCAGTTTAAAATTACGTTTTCTATCGCTGGAACTTTGTCGTGGAATAATATTTTGAGATTTCATAGGGTCATATTTATGATCTTCTTAAATTAGTTTGTAGAAGGTCGTCCCAAAACTGCTTGACAATATGATTAATTCAAAATGAATATCAGCCGAGCAGTTTAAAAAGGCGTTTCCAACCGCTCGAACATAACCATGATGATGGTTAGTCTTCCCTCGATAATCTAAAAATTATGACCTTATTTTCTAAAAATCTCTGCTAGAAAGACATTCCAAAACTGCTCGACTAAGTGACCAAGTGGAGCAACTTGGTGCACCGGCCTTTTAACCTAATCAGTTTAACTAAATAATTAATGCGATCTGAAAGTCATGGAATCGTCGGTTATTGACTTTAGGTTCCATTTGCATGTAGATTAAATAATGTCCAGCATTTGGAAATTGAGCTAAACTGCTCGAATAATGGGCCCTATACTCTTAACGTCATTATTTTTCGTTTTTTTTTCGAGTTGTTTATTTTTAAATATGATTTTACCAATTTCTTATAACATTTTGACACACAATTTGTTAATTCACAGCATTTGAAAACTGAGCTTAACTACTCGAAAAATTGGCATGTACTCTTAACACCATTATATGTCGTTTTTTTCAAGTAGTTTACTTTAAAATATGATGTTATGAGCTATTGCTTCACAACTTTATTTTGTTTTCGAGTTCAACTGCTCGAAAAAATATCTCTCACCTTTTACTTCATGATTTGCCACATTTTCGAGTATATATAGTTTGCCACTTCATAATGTTTTAACCAAATGAGCAACTTCATCCGAATTCTATCGAATAGATTATCAATGTTGAACAGTTATCCTGTTATGACAATGCTACAGTGCTAATGTTGATAAACAAACAGCTCGATTTTTTAATTGGAATGTGAAATTGAGTGGTTAATCCTCCAATATATGAAGAACCAATGCAAAACAGATAATTAGTGACAAGTTAAGTTCAACTGTGCAGAGGATTACATCATTCGAGCAGTTTAAAATTACGTTTCCTACCACTCAAGCTTTGAATTGGAACAATATTTTTAATATTTTTTTCTTCAAGAATTTCGGGAAATTGGAGTCTAATTCATGATCTTCTTAAATTCGCTGGTACAAGGTCGTCCTAGAACTGATCGACAATATAATTAATACAAAATGTATATCAGTCGAGCAGTTTAAAAAGGCGTTTCCAGCCACTCGAACCTAACCATGCTGATGGTTATGCTTTCTCTCAATAATCTGACAATTATTACCTAATTTCTTTTTAATTTCTGCTAGAAAGTCATCATATAACTGCTCGACTAACGGATCAATTTGAGCAACTTGATGCACTGGCATTTTGATCGAATCAACTAGTATAAACTTGATTCGATCAAAATGTCACGGAATCGTTGTCTATTGGCTTTCATGTCCACTTGCATGTGGATTAAACTATTTCCAGCATTTGAAAATTGAGCTAAACTCCTCGAAAAATAGGCAGGGTAGTACTCTCAACATCATTATTTGTCGTTTTGTCGAGTGGTTTATTTTTATATATATTTTTAGCTATGTGTGTCTTCATAATTTCGCAATTTTTGTTTTCGAATACAACTGCTCGAAAAATGAGCTCTTACCTTTTACTGCATAATTTGCCACTTTATAATATGTTGGCCAAATGAGCGTTTCCACTTGCATGTAGATTACATTATTTCCAACATTTGGAAATTTACCTTTAACTGCTCGAAAAATGGGCAACGTGATCTTATTATCATTATTTGTCGTTTTTCGAGATTATTTTTAAATATGATTTCATTAGCTAGTTTTTCACCGTTTCGATTTGTTTCTTTTCGATTTCAACTGCTCGAAAAATGAGCTATAATATTTTACTTTATGATTTGCCACAATTTCGAGTATACTTCATAATGTTTTGACCAAGTGAGCTACTCAATCTAAATTCGAATAGATTTTCAATGTTGATCAGCTATCCTACTGCTAGAAAAAAAATTGCCACAACGCTAATGTTGATACCAAATCTGCTCGATTTTTTAAATTTGAATGTGAAATTGAGTAGGTAATCCTCCAATATATGGAGAACCCATGCAAAACAGATAATTTGTGACAACCTAAGTTCACCGCTCCCACTGTTCAACTGTTCTGAAAATAAAATAGCAATTTATCACATCATTCGAGCAGTTTAAAATTACGTTGTCCAACATAAAGCAATCTTTTGAGGTTAGTTTTTCCTGAAAGAAGTTAAAACAGAAAAATCGAGGAATTTTGTTAAAAAAATGATGGCTGAAAAGGTCTTCATAGTAGAACTTGGTTAAATCAATTAACCACTCAGTTTCGTTTACTCGCCAAAATTTCGTCGCATAGAAGTGACGTTTATTCAAATTCGAGCAGATTTTTACTCAGTCTATGATTAACTGTGTTTTTAGCGAACTGAGTGAACGAAACTCCTAGCAAAATTCAAATTAAAGTGAGATTCTATGGCCTTGTAGAAAGTCATCACAAATCGGCTTAACTACGCGGTCGATTCGCAATTCTGGAATCAATTGCTCTTAAATTTAGCAACTGGTTTTGGATTCTTACTTATACTTAAGAAAAGAGAAACTCATTTGTCAAATATCATAAATCTGTTCGAATAATTTGTTGATGACTCGAAAATAGATAGGCGTTATTTTGTTCGATTTCAAACGGCCAGAAAATGCCTACTTCTACTACTAGATTCAGGCTAAGGACGGGTTGTCCTGTGCTGAAGTCGTGTTCATTTAACTCGATTCATAGCTTCAAGTCGCCAGCCAAGATCTGGCACCAAATTCAGAAAAAGAAAAGTCCAACTTTCGATCGATCACTGAAGCGATGAGAGTTCTCAAATTCGTTAGAATTTTTATCTATTTCAGCATCGATTTGAATGTCCATAAGCCACGATGGGATTAAGTTAATTATATTTTCGAGCAGTTTTGAGACGACCTTCTACCAGCGATTGTAAGAAAATTAAGCAATGAATTTCAGACGCTATTTTCTCTAGGTTCTAAAAGTTTTTGTTTGTAAATACTATTCTACGGCACAGTTTGAGTGATAGGAAACGTCATTTCAAACTACTTGAATGATGTGATCCATTATTTTCGAAAATAAAAAAAAACGGAGGAGTGCTCGATTATTGAGCCTTATAAACTCTCGCTGTAAACATCCTGTCACAGGATGACAATTGTAAATGGAAACCCGTGCAACTACTTTATAAACTATTCGATCATTTCAAAATGACTACCACGTTAGAGTGACCTCTAAGTACTTTTTCTTATATAAAATATTATTAATTTATTCTTTGCCTGAAAAATCTGCAATTCATGGGCTCATTTTTCGGAATTCTCTCTCTGATGGTCATCCTTCAGTTATAATCGAATTTCTAGTCCACCACCCACTCGATGGGAATGCAACATAAAACTCCCTCCCGAGCTGTCTGCATTCGCCAGAAAATAACCGAAGTTTATCAAAATTGTACATTGATTTGTAGGTTCCTAGATGGGTGACCGCTTGAGAACAATTTGACGACGTTGGGTGACGACTGCGGTCATCAATGCTCATGCTCACATTGCTTGTTCGTCGTGTGTTGTGTGACACTTACCGTCATCGTAGCCGTCACCGGGTTTGAATGGATATAACAACAATTCGACCAGAAGTATTGCAATATGAGGGGCTTGGTGGCCTGAGAGCGACCGTTTTTGCTCACAGAGTAGAAAATTGTTATTCGTTGTCTTTCATAACATGATCAACATCACTTCAATTAAGCGTACCGTTTACCCAAACGAACAGTGCTGCAAGCGCCCAACTTGTTTCGTTACTTAATCATATTGTCGAGCACTTTTTGTCTACCACGTTTGGTCGAACTACTTGAATTTTGATTGATTATTCAATCGATTTGAACCGCGGAAAATTTCACACAAATTTATACTTTGGCTGTTGGTATAGATATTTGAAATATGCCCTAATTTTGTGCGACTTTCTATGTAATGATTTTGTCTTTCATTTGTGCAATCAAATAACCAATATTGTCGAGTAGTTTTGGGAGCGATTTTTTTGAAAATCAAGCAATAAATTCCAGATTTTTTAAGCTTAGCATAAACAAGACCCTATTTTCTTCGGATGAATCAAGAAGAACAGATATCAAAATATTGTTCCACGCAGCGTTGCCAGACTGCTTTAAAGCCTATCGGCAACGAAAGTTTAGGAAAAGCGGTTCTTATCGGTGTTTACTACTGAAATAAATTTTTATATTTTTGTCGTTTTTTAAGGCGAAAATTCAAACCTTTGGACTAAGAACGGCAAATGCACTGCTTTAGTGGGAAGAAATTTCCGG